CCGACCCCCACGTCGAAACTGGGACACTGAAAGGGAAATGACACTTACACGGATGTTTGGTACTAGTGATAGGATTTGTCGTGATCTACTGAGGATGCGGATAGCTCCATTTGAAAGATTCTGTGCTCGTTTACGAACATATAGCTTGGTGGATAATAGATCGGTCAACGTAAAGGAACAAGTGGCTATATTTCTCAACACCGTAGGTCATGACCACCGTAATCGAACTGGCAGTTTCACGTTCTTTAGATCTGAGCAGACTGTGAGTTACTACTTTCATAGAGTTCTACAGGCTTGCCTTGCATTGTATAGGGATATTGTGAACAATGCCACTGTTTATAATAGTCCGTACGAGAAGGATAATGTTAAGCCATGGTTCCAATATTTTCAACCCAGATGATTTATGTGTAATTGGAATATATCATGCAACTTTGGGATGCCTACTCCCCCATGGGTATTAATTTGGGAAAAAATGTGGGTTGTCGTTTCTTTTGTAATCTACATGAACGTTCCAATATTAAAAAAATCAAGTCATAGTTGGAAAAGATGGTTTAGGGTGAAACATTATTTTTCTTATCTGAAGAAAATCCACTATTGAAAAAAATGCACATCCACCTTTGTGTCTAATCTGAAGAATTTTACTCGGGTTTTAAACCATTTTTGAACATTATCTTTTGGTCATGGTTTGTTGGACATTATAAATGGCTATAAAACACCAATCGTTGGGAAAAAATATTCCATAATTTTTCATGGAAAACAAAGCCTACCAAACAGTTAAAGATGGAAAATACCATTATTTTCCATGGAAAATTCAGCTGATCAAACACAAAAAGATGGAAAATCTCAACATTTTTTAGGTGGAAAATTATACAAATCAAACGCAACTAATTGACAATTCCCGGGAAAAAATTTTCTAGGCAAATATTTTCCCTTGAATTCATTTTTTTTCCACCCATTTTCCATCCTTACAATCAAACGCACCCTTATTAATGTTTGGATTGAAATCTTGAATAAGTCGAGTCCTCTTATAGAATAAGAAATTCGATTTTCAGACATCATTTTGTGAAATAATAGAAATTTGAACAAAATCATAGCAAAATTCAAAAACTGAAGCAGTGTGTATATTGTGTGTGTGTGTGTAATTAGCAACAAAAATATAGCCCCTATTTGGGGAGGATTAAAATCAGATTTTTAGTAAATTTTAATGAAAGTTGATAAAATATGTAGTTGAAAAGTTGTTAATCTTATGAAATATTTGATTAGAATTAATTGTTGATTTTAACTTAAATTAAAATATGAATTGTAATCCCTACCGAACAGGAACATAGAAATAAGAATTTGATGGAAATAACATTTTCAAACAGCATTTTGTGAGACAAAAGAAACTTGAACTGCTATGACTAG